GCCAGCACAGCTACACTCTTGGTCGAATTTTTCGACTTAAACACTGAGCAAAAAATTCCGATTTGCGATATTCTTAGAACAATTAATTCTAGAAACATTTTGACACCAAAATGAGCTGAGCAATTAATTGCTTTAAGGTACTTTACTCTTGTACGCGAGCCAGTACAGCCACACTCTTGGTCGAATTTTTCGACTTAAACAATGAGCAAAATAATCGAGAATAGAGCAAAAATGAGCAAAAAAAATAGCCCTTGAAGAATATGTACTTGATTTTTCATTTGCTGCTTTTTTTGTGGCTGTGCTAACTTTGGTCTTAAGCTAGCACAGCCATGAGTTTTAGCGAATCGGCTGGAACAAAAAAATCGGGAATAAAGCAAAAAATAGCAAAAAATGTGGTACAGGTCGCATTTTATTGTGCTGAAGTGGCTGTGCCAGCTTACTAGACGTGTTATTTTTCATGTTGAAAAATCGAATTAAAAAAATTTTTATTTAAAAGAATTTTTTTTAGTGTTTCCTTTAGAGTTCTGAATAACGCTACAAGAATTCTATCAAATAGTATAGTGACTTTTTTTGCTCCGACTTAAAATAAGAAAGTTATGTCTAATTTTCGTTTCGCGAAAACGTAAAGTTGGTAACCGAAACTTTCAAATCACGTTTTTTTGCACTTAATCAAAACTCTTTTCAAAACCTATTAGAAACTCTAGAACTCTTTGGGGGAGAGCCAGAACTCTATTAATTAAATCGAAATTTTGAGAATGGGATACCAGCTTCACAGAAGTTTATTATTGTATATGGTATATACGATTTTAAATATTTATGTATTCTTCACGCCAAATCGGACGGCCTTTGTCACTGACTCCTTTCGATTTTTTTACTGATTTTTTAATATTAGATGTACAACTTTGCTTCCGCCGTTTTCATATAGATGGCTTTAGCGGTAAGTGGTGGTCGAAATAAATAGATCATAGACGGCATACAATAAACTTGGGCATCTGTCAACATAACCCCATAGAAACATTAGTCGATTTGTGTCTGCATCATAAAGTTATTCTCGATTGAAAATGTCAGTT